CAACATATGGAACACTTATAGGGTATGGAATGAACCAAACTTCACTTGTTGGATTCTGATTCGTCTTACTGGACTCATAGCTTTGAAAAAAGCCCTACTCTCAAGTAGTCATCTATAGAACAAAAAGGAGCTCCGTTTAGCTTGAAGAGGATTGAAAAATATATTTGAAGATCCTCTAAAATAAGGTATTTAAGTCAAACAGAACCTCACAGCCATTGGGGAGAAGTGTTAAGGGGTTCTCAGAGACCAAGGCACAGTACCGTGGCATCTGAAGGCATAGTCCTACTCAGAAGATGATGGTCCAGGATGGAGAGCAGAGGGAGGTAGGAGGAAAGTCTTACTGTTGTGAGAAGTTAAGGATGAAGTCAGGAGGCTGTATACATATACAGCACAAGGCCTCAGGTTGCAGCATGAATTCTAATTGTTATTAATAAAAAAACCCAGAGACAGATATTGGGGTTAAAGCTAAAGATCAGAGAAGCAAAGTGGCTAGCCAGTAGAGAGTGCTCATCTCTACCAATGCTCAGACTCAAGGGGTGATCCTGTCCTCAGATTGCATCTCCAGACTGCCTGCTCGCCACCAAACCCCAGACTTCGATGAGCTCCTCACTTCCACCTTATAGTCCTCTCTCTGCCCAGCCAAACCACTCCTGTTTCCACCTCCCTAGTGCTGGGATTAAAGGTGTGTCATCCAAGTGCTGGCATCAAAGGAGTGAGCTGTTCATCTTTTAGACTGATTCACTCTCTCTCATGTGGCCCAGGATGGCCTTGAACTCACAGAGAGATCCATCCACCTTGTCTCCTAAGTGCTGGAATTAAAGGTGTGTACCACCATTGATCTTCAGGCAAGCTTTATTTGTTATATAATAAACAAAATATCCCCACACTAAGTTCCATTCCCAACACCAACATAAGTAGTTCAACATCCCTGAAGGCTGTCATGGGAGGAGATGTTCCATCAACAAGATGAGTCTTCTAAATGGAAATTCCCCTAAGCTATGGGGTATGACACCAGTGGTCAGAGACTTTTGCTGGTTCTCAAATTGGTTTTAGCATCCTGTACTTTGAGCTGGGAGTGGCACCATTGCATGGTTTCTTCTTCAGATGTCATTTATAGGCTCAGCGGTAATCCAGATAGCAAATGCAGGGTGGGGCTTGGTGAGTACTGATCACTTGAGCTGCTTTAGAAGAAGCCTGAACAGCGCAGCATCGCACATCAGTAATGTGCAATGTCCCTGGTGGAGTGAAACCAGGAGAGCTGGTACTTGTTCTTACCAGCCAGTGGATCTGACATCAACCTTAGGGAAGTCACTGACCCTCACTGGACCTTAGGAGGCTTTCATCATCAACTCTGATTGTACTTTCAAATCCTAGTTTAGGGGTGTAAGGGCTTTTAAAAAGCAGACTGATGAATGTCCCGGACACTCCAGCAAAGAAAGGAAAGTCACTCCAGATTAGGGATACAGATGTGGCAAAGAGAAGGAAAGGGGCACAGGAGAGGACAGCCACACACCTGCTTTTGCCTTGACATGAGGAGGACAAGGAGACAATTTACACTACAGGAATAATTGGGACACTTTTAGGGGCTGGAGGTGCACTGAGCCCCACCTGCAGGAGTCCCACCTTCAGGAACTTGCTTGCAGACACTTTGGAGGCATACAGGATGCTGTGGGCAGGAAAGCTGGATCTGGTTGCTGTATTTTAGGTACCAGAAGTGCACCTGCTGGCATCCTGTGTGGCACCAAGAATGTTCAGTAACAAAGTAGGAAGCCCAAGGCTCCATCCTCACTAACATCTCTTACCCAATTCATTCTGGGGAGAGTCAGAGACCTGATTTCTAACCCTCCTGTCACTGCTCTGCAAGACACTGGGATATGGGTCTAGGCCCTGCTCCAAATGATTTGACAGACTTTGAAGAACCCCCATGGAAGGCCTCATCCTCCTGGGGCACAGAAAGGGGATGAGACAGGGGTCGGTGGGGGGCAGGGGAGGATGGGAGTGAGAGGGAAGTGGTATTGACATATAAAATAAGCTTGTTTCTAATTTAAATTAGAAAATTTACTTTTAAAAAGACACTGGGTAATGAGTGGGAATGTCTGATAGGAAACAAATGAAGAATTCAGACCCATGACTCTGGGAGGAAATAAGAACTGAAGGGCTGAGGAGGAGACTCAGGCTCAAGTTCAGTGGCCTTTGCCAGTGCTTCTGGAACTGAAAACCCAGGAGATGGGCTGAGGCCTGTGAGCAGTGCCAGGAGGTTAGGAGGCCCTGTTGAAAGATATGAAAGAGTCACGAGACTTCACAAGGACTTGGTTGTAGGTTAGCTAGGGCTCATTTTACTGTCCTCCATGGGAGCATAGGATGCCATTTTCTAGTGAAATGGAGGTTCGTCCCTTATAGGGTTGACAGAGTGAGGAGAAAGGTAAGTTTGAGTTCATCAGAGAATAGTGTGAACAGCTTTCTTTCTATATGAACTGCCTGTGTATTTTGATAGTAGGTGTGTCCATGTTCACTCAGTGTCCTGGGGATTTTGGATTATGGAGAAAGGATTGGAATATGTATTGGGGCATCTCACCTGCCAGGACAAAATTCTATTTCAACCTTCTCATTGAGCTTTTAGCTTTGAATGGCTGGCCAGCAAATCCTTAAGAGGAAAAATGAAGACAGATTAGGAAGAACAGGGTTCACAGACGGTTATCTACAAAACAAGTGAGTGCTTTTTCTTCTGATCTTACTCGCCATGCTTGCCTTGCTTGCCTCCCAGAGAGTAAGGCTTCCACCAGGAGTGGAGTCTCCATCAGCTTACTTGGTTGCCAAAGGTGCATTTCTGGAACTTTTCACAAACGCAACAAACATTAATGAGGATGGTTTCCCACAAGGAAGCAGATTTATTAACAATCTCACTGAATAAAGATCCTAGTACACACTCTCAAATCTCTGGGCATCCCACTAATGTATCAAGGAGTCAAATACAAATTTCTCAAGTCACTTGGTATTTGTAGGTTCAAATCCAGTATTCTCTGCTCTGGTTGGACATCAGTATTTTGGATAAGGTTTGAAATCTGGTTATTTATCCTTCTTCCAAGTCCTTAGGTTGATTTGCTTAGTTTTATTTTAATTAATTAAGGTAAATAGAACTTTTCATTCCCTCATTCACCCTTGTTTTAGACAAGATCAGCTTTGAACTCACAATTTGCCTCCGTTGACCTCTGGAATCCCCAGAAACTAGACATGTACCACCATGCCCAGGCACTGGGTGTTTTTCAATATAAGAAAGTTGGACCCTACAGCTTTCCTCCCTGTGAGATCACAGAAATATCTAAGTAAAAAGAATTCCAAGGCATCCTTCCTCCATCGCAGGGAACCTGTCCACCTTTGCACTTTCTTATTGACAATCACCTTGGTATGAAGGAGGCACAGGAGGAAAACCTAACACATGAAAGAACCTACTGTGAAATAGTGGCCTGTGGGTTAAAATGTCTGGAGGTTTCCACAAGCCAAGGAGGCTCAGTTTCTGAACTATTATTATATGTTGTTTGGCCCCAATGCCTAGACCTTGGAATTCTATTTGACTACAGTGAAATGCCCGAAATGAAATGAAGCATGTTTAGTGCATTTTCTTAACTTGTTGACATGAAGGGAGTCTTAATAATGTAGGATGCTTCTGTAGGACAACTGTTTGAAAAGAGAAGTGCCAGCCCCGGGAAAACGACAACTCCAGCCCTCTGTTGAAAGATTGCTGGACTGGTCCTGGTAGCATTTACTCTCACAGGGAGGAACCGCCCCGACCTTGAACAAGTGTTTCTTTGTTGCACTACAGTCTGTGAGAAAGTGTGTCTTGGGGCTGGTTGATGTCTGAAAATAGGAAGTAAGGTCGAAAGGGCGAGAGAGGGGGGAGGAATCACTCAAAGATGGTCGGGTGGCCAGTCAGAAAGGTGAAACCCAGGCTTTGAAAATCATTTACACTGCCCTTTACTACAATGGCACCTCCCAACCCCCACTCCTGACTGCTCCGTACTGGACAATTCAATTGATTCCTTTTGTAGCCGGTTTATTGCTCAGAACCCCTAGGGTCTGGGTTTGCTTGTGGAAGAAACACACCCCATGGCGCTGCTCTGGAGCTTGCCCCTCCAGGCTCAGCTCCCTTTCTTAGGGCTGGACAAGACAGTGGGAGGCACCCTTGGACATGCACCTACTTACTCCCTGCGCTGCATCTGGAACTCTTAGGTAGTAGGACTAAGTCACTACCAGTCTTCTGCACATCCTTCGCAAACTTTCAAGAGTCCTGAAGGGTCTGATGATGTTATGGAAGCACCAAACCTGATCCAAGCTAGGGCACCCGTTCTACGTCCGGGGTATGAAGAGGCATCTCCAACCGGTCTCTGAGTGCAGCCACCCTTGGATTGCCCAGGCTGCCGGCTAGGGACTGGCTAACTAGAATTCCATCCCCTCACGCCTAGGTCCTTCGGTAGCTGTTCCAGCCCACCGGAGGAAACCCGGAGCACATCACTGAGGACCGGAGGCGAGTATCGCAGGCTGTAGGTAGTCCGGGAAACTGAGCTCTGGGCAAGCACCAAAGAAAGCCTGAGCGGGAGAAGCTACACGTCTCTCAGCAGCGGGAGCTGGGAACTGAGGACAGCGCCCCTGCGAATGCCTGTCCTGCGGGTCCCCTCCCCGCCCGCTTTCCGCGCTCTGATTGGCTGGCGCGCGGGGTTTCTGGCACGCGCCTGTGGATGTAGTTATAAGAATCCTCGCGTGCCGGCCCTCAGCTCCAAAAAGCGGGTCTCAGCCCTCCCTAGTGCAGTCTCAGCACCAGTCAGAGCTAGCGGCCTCGCACTTTTCAGGGAGGCCCTGGGACGGGGACCCGTGGCCGCCTAGCCTTCCCCAGAGCCAGCCCCACGAGGGAGGGGCTGCGGGACCTGCCCGAACAGCCACGGATCATTCACAAAGCCTCACCCCGAGCAGTCCAGCAGTCCCTCTGGGCCTCGGCTGTGGCCGTTATGGACGCCGTGCTGCTGGAGCACTTCCCCGGGGGGCTGGACACATTCCCGTCTGCTTACTTCGATGAGGAAGACTTCTTCACCGATCAGTCCTCTCG